CGAATACTACTCAGTCATGAAAAAGACTGAAATAATGCCATTTGTGGCAACATGGATGGACCCAGACATTGTCATACTGACTGAAGTAAATCAGAGAAAGAAAAATATCATTTATATGTGGAATCTAAAAGAAAAATGATACAAATGAGCTTATTTACAAAACAGAGAGTCACAGAATTAGAAAACAAGCTATGGTTACCAAAGGGAGACATGGAGGGGGATAAATCAGGAAGTTGGAATAACATATACACACTTCTATATATATCATCAACAAGGACCTACTATATAGAATGGGGAACTCAATTCTAGACTCTGTAATAACTTACAATGGGAAAAGAATCAGAAAAAGAATAGATATATGTATATATAAAACTGAATCACTTTGCTATACACCTGAAACTAACAATGTAAATCAACTATCTTCCAATATAAAAGAAAAAAAAATTTTAAAGGATAACAAGTTTTGTAAAAATGGAATCTTGAAAAAGGAATTTTATGTGTGATCAAGCTGAATAAGACTAAATGCATTTATTATCTGGATCTTTGAAAGTTTGAAACTTGAAGATTCATGTACTTACTGTAGTCTTATTATGGTTATTTTTTATAAAAAATGAGGGTAATTATAAGAGAAAGACTTTTCAGTAGAAGATATAATATGTACTTATGAATACTAAACTCTAGTTCTGTTAATTGTCTTTCAGCTTTGTTTTCTACCTGTAAACTGACTAGATCTTAAAATTCTATTTTTTTCCAATATCTGGCTATAACTTTCCAAACTAACATTTCCAATTTATCTCTCACCCTTCTGACTTATGAGAACTAACAACACCCTTCTTCTGAAGCCATGTAAATTAAGGTTGGACAATGTGATGTAAACTTCAGAGAAAACAGTCCAGCAGCTTGTGTGTGGACAGTCTTCATGCCTGTTGCTCTGTAGGCCCTCAGAAAGAACATGAGACATTCAAAGTACAAACCAGGAAAACCTATCGGATTACCACTGCTTGCTATCACTCCATCTAAAGAGACTTCAAACCTAACATCTAGAAATCATCTTGACTGGCTATCTTCAGAACTCAAAAACTCGTTCATACTTTGCTCCAATTATTAACCATTGTTTTTCTTTTGTTTCCATGTAAATGCCTCTTATTAAATACCTGGTTGATCATCCAATTATAGGCCTAAACTTGGAATCCCACCTGCGTCATTGCCTCCTAAATTGAGTTTAGCTGATCTGACCTATTCTCAGGGCTAAGAAACTGGTTTATTGAGATACGGAACAATCCACCATTCAGCTATTAATCTATTCTACTCTCTACAATCAACTCAGCTTTTAATTATGAAACTTCCAGAGATATTTCAGAAGAGGAAACTGATGGATCTGATAAGCAATCAATATTGGCATATTGATGATTTTAAAGTTACTTGAGAAACAGTCTGTGCAAAGAAAGATATAGTTCTCCCTCTGTCCACTTGAAAGCAAGAAATAAATCTCCCATGTGAAAGGTATCCTCTCTGCAGCAGGAAGCAGAGAGACATCCTTATCATCAGAGACAGGGAGTTCAGGGCCAGAAGGCTTGTAAACAAACTCCGCTACGTTTCCTCACTGTGCTGTGTGCTGTGCTTAGTCGCTCAGTTGTGTCTGACTCTTCGCAACCACGTGGACTGTAGCCCACTAGACCCTGTCCACAGGGATTCTTCAAGCCAGAATACTGGAGTGGGTTGCCTTGCCCTCCAGGGGATCTACCACAAGCCAGGGACTGAACCCAGGTCTCCCTCATTGCAGGTGGATTTTTTTTTATCATCTGAGCCACCAAGGAAGCCCAAGAATACTGGAGTGGGTAGCTTATCCCTTCTCCAGGGGATCTTCCCTACCCAGGAATCTAACTGGAGTCTCCTGCATCGCAGCCAGATTCTTTACCAGGTAAGCTACCAGGGGAGCCCTCATTTCTTCACTACTTAGTATATAAACCTAAGTATGTTTGTCTTGTCAGTTCTTTACAGACTTATTGTTTTTTTGCCTAAAAGGTATATAAGCAGCTTGCTTTGGTCACTTCTTGGGTCTCATAGCTATGTATATATGATCTCTGTACATATGAAGTTAAATTTGTTTTTTCTTCCTATTAACCTGCCTTGTGTCAATTTAATTATTGCACTAGCCAAAAGACCTAAGAGGGGTAGGGGGAAATTTTCCGCTCATTGATATAGGGAAAGCTATTCATGTTTCCAAATACCGACCTCCTTGGAGAAACAGGTGAAGAAGAGCTTTTTGAATGAGGGGCTGGGCTGTACAGGTCCATGAAGTGACCCCTGAGCTTAGAACAAGGCTCATGAGGAACAAAAGGCCTTGATGGGTCGAGGGGATGGTTTCTACAGTCTCTGGATCCAGCCCTGAGTGCCCAGGGCATCCAGCACTGTGCCTCCTTCTAGCACCAGCAGTGACCACCCCACTACTCCCATGCAGACTTTTGGGGGTTGACTACTCATGTTTCATCCATTTTGAGATATCATCAACTGTAAACTGTACCATTTTTTATGTATGACTAAGCAAGAAAAACCACTGAAGAGGGAGACTGCACATCAGAGCTGGGACACCAGAGATTAAGGAATTTTCCCAAAGAAAAGATTGGCTGCAAACATGCTTGTCTTAATCCTGGTACTATGTGGAAGGAGAAAAAATAATTCTGAGAATCTGAACCACAAGTCTGTCCTCATGCAGGTTTGATTTCACTCTTAAGTATGTTCTAGAAATATTCCAATACTTTGGTCACCTGATGCAAAGAGCCGACTCATTGGAAAAGACCCAGATGCTGGGAAAAATTGAAGGAAGGAGGAGATGGTTGAATGGCATCACCAACTCAATGGTATGAGTTTGAGCAAACTCCAGGAGATAGTGAAGGATAGGGAAGCGTGGCATGCTGCAGTCCAAGGAGTCACAAAGAGTTGGCCATGAGCGACTGAAAAACAACAAATGTTCTAGAAAAGTCAAGCAGAAAATTAACTTAAGGTCATTTCATGTTGTTAGTGCCTCAGAAGTGACTGCCAAACACACATCCTCTCCTGGAGAACTAGGTTGCTTTCCTGGCTGACAGCCATCATAGGATACCATCGATTTTAAGACACATCCCAATTTCAGTGATGTTAAATGTGCAGAAATGTGCTCCTCAGAATTAATAATATTTATGGGCATGAAACAGATGTGCTGTCGGCTGCACTGGTGATCAGTTCACCTGGATTTGCCTGGAACTTTCCTGGTTTTAGCTCTGCAGTCATCTTCATTGAACTCTCAGTCCTGGACAACGGTTGACCACTCTACCTACTTCAGTCCTCTTCTGGGGTTGTCTTCTCTGGTCTAGGGGCCTGGTCTGCTACCTGCATCCTTGCCCAGAGGTAGGCTAATTGCACCAGGCTATGGACACCTGACCCAGGGTTTTCTGCCCACAGGTCAGCCACATATAGGAGTTGAGGGCAAATGCAGAAGGACGAGAATGGAAATCGGAACATGGGAATCTAAAGACCTGAGATCATGCACTAGGCCTTGTCTTGCTGTCCGGTTCTCTTGGGTTCCTGTGCACTGAAAAATTGCAATAAACTCTCCCTCTTATTTATTTACTTTTTGGAGGGTGAAGGAGTTAACTTCAGTATGTTTTTGGCCCTTCTGGCTTAAGGGGTCCTGACTGAGGCACGGAGGCTGCTCTGCAAGGCTTTTTAGAATCTACATGTCTGTCCTAGGAGCTGTGAAGAGGAGACCAGTGATGCCTGGCAGTGGGTCTGAGTGCCGGGGGCACAGGCACTCCTCAGGCTCAGGTGTATAAATGAAGCAGAAGTCACATGAGCTCCATCCAATGTAATTAGCAGAATGACATGAATTATTTCCTAAACAAAGGCCAAGAGACCAGCTAAACAGTCTGTTTTATCTATATACTAAATAACTGTACTTGGAGATGTATTTGTTTCCAAGCTCAATTTCACATTTTCCATTTTCTCCTCCCCCTTCTCCATCAAGAGACTTCTCCAGGCAGGAATTGTGTCTCTTTTCTCATATTTGCCCCACATAGGACCCAGCACAGATGCATATTTTCCTGTAAGCTTCCCAATGACAGGCTTCCCTTGTGGCTCAGCTAGTAAAGAATCCGCCTGCAATGCAGGAGGCTTAAGTTTGATCCCTGGGTTGGGAAGATCCCCTGGAGAAGGGAAAGGCTACGCACTCTAGTACTCTGGCCTGAGAATTCCATGGACTGTATAGTCCATGGGGTCGCAAAGAGTCGGACACGACTGAGAGACTTTTACTTCACTTCACTTCCCCAATGACAGGGAGCAGATTTTTGTGGCTTGCTAACACTGAGCACTATCATGGCACCTAATGAGTTCTCAGTGAGTGAGTATGGAACTGAGATGAGCTTTAGACTCAACATACCTGAGCTGTGGATGGAGTTCTTCATCCATTCATTCACTGAGTATTTAATGAACTGTTATATGCCAAGTATTATAGTGGGCAGGAATATTCAGTGATGAATGAGACAGGTGCTGTTCCTGCATCCATACATCTTATACTCTAATGGAATTTCAGGCACACACTTAATAAGCAGACAAATAGATAAAGTCATAAGTTATGATAAACGCTATGAAAGGTGGCAGAGGTAAAAAGGTTAGGGAAGACCCCTCTTAGGTGGTGACAAATGTCAGGGAGGAAAAACTTTTCCTCTCCCCTCTTGGGTTTAGTAATAGGGGCCTGTGAACTAAAGTGAGAAAAAAAATTAGCGAGAGAAAAGACAGAATTTTATTCTTGTGTGTATGCAGGAGTTCACAGAAAAATGTGACTGAAAGAGGCTGTTACAATTTAGGACTTATATACTATCTTAATAGAGGAAGGAAAGAGGGAGAAAAGCACTTATGGGAAAATATATGACTTTTAGAAAAGATATATGGCCCTCGGGAGAACAGATGGGAGAGGTGATACAGTTTTGTGACAACGTCTAAGAGATTTCTTATCCTCTTGCAGCTTCCGTCTGAGTGAAAGAAGTCAATCTTTCCTGGTGCGTAAGTCTTAGGGAAAATATTTATCACAGTTGAGTTCTGTTTTTTTTTAAGTTAATTTTTTAATTGAAAGATAACTGCTTTACAGAATTTTGTTGTTTTCTGTCAGACCTCAACAGGGATCAGTCACATGACAGTTGAATTCTTTGGGGAGGCTCTTCTTTTAGGAAGAAAAAAGGAGTTCAGGAACAAACCTTTTCAGCATGGTATATTCCAGACCCCTTCACTGTGAAGGTGGAATCTCAAAGGGCAAGGAGGAGCTGGCCTCATACTCCTGAGTCAGAAGGTGTTCTAGGCAGAGGGACTATGGGGAGAGTCCCTGGAACGGGAAGGGCTTTCTTCCCAGAATATAAGGAACAGGAAGAGAAGTAAGAGTAGATTTGGAACAGGAAGGCAGGTCAGACCATGAGCTGGGTTTGGGAGATCATGGCAGGATTTGTGAGCTCTGGTATCTTGTGGTGAGCTTTTTAGAAGCCACGAGTCTTGTGATTGTCCGTGAGGCCTCCACTCCCAGATGAGGGAGCCCAAGGCAGCTTCTCTGTGGATTGCAAAACTTTACAGCTGGAAAGACCCTAAGCAGTGACGGGTTCCACTTTATTTTACAGCCATGCCCTCTGTGGGGCCCTGCAGCCCTCCCCACCATGAAGCCTCCCCAGAGCACACCTGGGACGCAGGAGCAAAGACCCAATATGCCTTCACCGACCGAGCCACATGGCTGGACTCTCAGCTGAGTGATGGGCATAAAAGCAGGTAACTGGTGAATTCATGAGCAGTCACTGGGTGCCCTGGACCCGGCACTGAGCTGTTAGATATGCCAATACCTCATGTTTACCCAGGACTTTGTGCTTCTCAAGGTGGTTTCATACAAATTAAATCATGGGGGCTTCTCTGCAGCCCTGTGAGGGCTACATGATGGGGTGAAAGAGCTCGGGCCTTGGGGTGGGAACAGCTGGGCCTGGATCCCACCTCTCCTTATAAGCAGCATTGTCTCGTTAATGTTACCTCTCTTCTCTGAGCCTTACTTTTCTTCAGCTGTAAAATGGGATCCTGGTCTCCACAAGGATCCAGAGAACCTGTGTGGAGTACTGTTGGAGTGCCAGCACGCAGCACGTTCTGCTACAAGCTAAGGTGTTGCTGTTGTGAGAGTGTGTTGAGAGACAGGTCCCATTCGATACAGGAAGAAACAGGTAAATGGTCCCCACATTGTTTCACTGAATGTTCACCACCAACTCTCAGCTGAGGATGAGCAAAGTCAAGCAGCTTGGCCTAGGTCAGTGAGTACAGAAGACGCCAGCTGGAGCCAGCTCTGAGTCACTTGTGTGGGGTAGGGCAGGGGCGGGTAGGATCACCTAAAGCTTCAGAGGAGGGATGTTACACTGACCTCACGATGCCTTCCTTCCTCACAGTCACTGCCATCTCAGACCCTATGCCCTAAGGTACCTGCAGGGCTAGGGAGGGGTCCTATCATGGATATCCCACATCTGTTCAGGTAGGGCAGTTGTGTCCTCTTTCTTTCTCCTGGGTTCCTTAACCTTCTGATCAAGTGTTGAGCTTGCCTGAGTATCCTTGCTCCCTGGCCAAGGCCAGGAGTGAACCAGGGGCTGAGTGCAGAGGCTCAGAGCCAGAGGCTACTGGTGGCTTTAAAAATATGTGCAGGAATGAATTCTAAGCCAAGGTAGCTTTTTTTTCTCCCTCTCTTAAAGTCATTCTTTATTAAATACCTTCTCAAAAAATTTTAAAAATGGATATGTACCCAATGAAACTATTCAAAGGAAAAAAACAATAAAAACCACCCTCATCGGAGGGTGGTTAACATTGATCGATGTTAACTGCTTGTGGGTCACCTTTCAAAACTTTTCCTATACTCTTTGTTATGGACTGAATTGTGCCCACCACCCCCCATTCATCCCTAACCCCCAGTGTGTTTATTTGGAGATGGAGTCTATAAGGAAGTAATAAAGGTTCAGTGAGGGTTTGAGGATGGAGCCTTCCAGAGCAGAGGCCATGTGAGAAGACAGCTATCTACAAGCCAGGAAGAGAGGCCTACCTCACGACAAACAACCCTGATGGCATCTTTGTCTTGGACTTCTGGCCTCCAGAACTGCATTTCTGTTGTTTAAGCTACCCAGTTTGTAGCAATTTGTTATGGCAGCCCTAGGAGACTTACACACTCATGTAACCTGGATGAAAAGATCCAGGCACAAGGAGAACTTTTTTTTTTTTAAACATCAAACACATTTTGTATTGGGGTGTAGCCGATTAACAATGCTGTGATAGTTTCAGGTCAATAGTGAAGGGACTCAGCCATACATATACATATATTCATTCTCCCCCAAACCCTCTCCCATCCAGGGTGGCACATAACATTGAGCAGAGTTCCACATGCTATATAGAGGAGGTTTTTGTTGGTTATCCATTTTAAATATAGCAGTGTGTACATGACCTCCCCAAAGTCCTCAACCATCCCTTCCCCCCACCAGCAAGCATGAGTTCATTTTCTAAGTCTGTGAGTCTCTTTCTGTTTTGTAAGTAAGTTCATTTGTATCATTTCTTTTTAGATTCCAGATATAAGGAATGTCATGTGATGTTTCTCCTTTTCTGTCTGACTTCACTCAGTATGACACTCTCTAGGTCCATCCACGTTGCTGCAGATGGCCTTATTTCATTCTTTTTAATGGCTGAGTAATCTTCCATTGTATATATGTACCACATCTTCTTTATGCATTCCTCTGTCGATGGACATTTAGGTTGTCTCCACATCTTATCTATTGTAAAGTGTTACAATGGACATTGTGGTGCATGTATATTTTTGAGCCATGTTTTTCTCTGGATATATGCCCAGGAGTGGGATTGCAGGGTCACATGGTAGCTCTATTTTTAGTTTTTCAAGGAACCTCCATAGTGTTCTCCATAGTGGCTGTACCAATTTACATTCCCATCAACAGTGCAGGAGGATTCCCTTCTCTCCACACAGAGAGGGTGTTTTATTTGTTGTTTATTTGAGCAGAAATGGGATCATCCTATAATTATATTACTGTGGAACTAGCTTTTATCATTAACAAAATGTAAAGGCCATCTGGCTTCTTACTCACATCTACTTCCAATTCCATTATGGCATCCACAGCTCCCGTTCCTCTTCAAAAACCTATCCAGAATCCCGTTGCTTCTCCCAGCTGACTGCTTCCACCTTGGTGTAAGCACCACCCTCTCTCTCTCAGGCCAGGAGCCTCTTCACTCTTATCTGCTTCTAATCTTTCCCTCTTTGGTCTACTGTCCTCACAGTAGCCAGAGGGATCCTTTAAAACCGTAAGTCAGGGGACTTCCCTGGTGATCCAGTGGTTAATAAGCCACTTGCTAATGCAAGGACAGATCCTACATGCCATGGGGCAGCTAAGCCCAGTCATCACAGCTATTGAGCCTGTTCTCTAGAGCCCATGAGCCACAGCTACTGAAGCCCATGTGCCTAGAACCCACGCTCCACAAGAGAAGCCACTGCAATGAGAAGCTCGTGCACCACAACTAAACGGTAGCTCCTGCTTGCCATGACTAGAGAAAGCCCGCGTGAAGCAATGAAGACCCAGTGCAGCCAAAAATTTTTTTAAATTTAATTAAAAAAAACACAAAACAACCCTAAGTCAGGTCCTGTTGCTCCTCAGCTCAAAGCCCTCCAGTGGCTTCTCACCCTATGCAGAGTAAAACCAAAATTCTCACCAGGGGCCACAAGGCCCTGTGTGATCTGGGCATGTACACACACACACACTCACACCAACTCTCCCTCTCTTCTCTCTCATCTCACTTGCTCCACCCTGGCCTACTTGAGCTCTCTGTTCCCACCAACCACACTCCCAAAGCAGGTCTTTGCACTTGCTGTTTCCTCAGCCTCAGCTGCCCTTCCTCCTGGTTGCCACAGAGCCCCTTCCCTCACTTCCTTCCAGACTCTCTCCCAACCCACCTTTATCATTCTTTATAGCACTAACCACCATCTGACATATTACTTCTTTATTTGTTTATGGTCTGTCTTTCCTCATTAAGATGTGGATTCCATAAGCAATAAACCTTGTCCTGTTCCCTGCTGTCACTAGTACTTAGAAGACTACCAGGTTTATGGTAGATGCTTGGTAAATGTTTAATGAATGACAACATGAATAAATCTCTCCAAGCCAATAGATGTAACAACCTTTTCAACAGTTGCATAGCATTTGCTAATATGGACAGACCATGATTCACTTAACCAGGCACTATTAATGATGTTTTTCTATTTTTTTCTTACTTTAAACAATATTTGTGATAAACATTTTTGCATAGCTACTTTAATATATGGGGCTTCCCTGTTGGCTCAGATGGTAAAGACTCTGCCTGTAAGGCAGGAGACATAAAAGACATAGATTTGATCCCTGGGTCGGGACGATCCCCTAGAAAAGGAAATGGCTACCCACTCCATTATTCTTGCCTGGAGAACCCCATGGATAGAGGAGACTGGCCAGCTACAGTCCATGGGGTCACAAAGAGCTGGACATGACAGAGTGACTAACACCCACCACTTTAATATATTGGTTCTTTTAATTCTATATGATATTTTCCCTAAAGCTGGGTTTATGTTTCAAGAGATAGGCATATTTTACATTTAATAGCCATTACCAATTTTCCTTAGTCACAATTCAAAGGCAAATCCTGAAAAAAAAAAAAAAAAAAGGCCTCAATCATTTTCCCAAACTGAGGCCCGGGTAAGATTGCCCTTAGGTCAGGAAAGGGGGGCTCTGTCCTAGGTCTGTACACTTTAGAGGGCTTTGTATGTCACAAACACAAACAAAGCAAGTTTATTAATGGCCACACAGGACTTCTTCTCACTTGGGATCCTGCATGGAGCACTGGGTTGGCACAGTGTGACCTGCAACCCTGAACGTGAAAGCTCATGATTAACACCGTCTCCACATTTCCTCCTATTTTCTTGAAACAGAAAACTGCTGAGTCCAAATGCTGTGATGTCTTGTGGGTTGTACCACTGCTAACCTAGGAGACAGTCACTGCTTTGGAGGCAGAAAGAATTTATTGGGCTGGTATTTGTAGATAAAAGACTCATTTGTCCTGTCCCTCCTCTCAGAGAGTATGGGTTTAGTAGGTGCTACCATAACCAAATACTATTTTTCAATAGTTCCAGGGGTCCATTTTCTTCTTTTTTTGGTCTAAGTCTGGAGGCAGTCACAAGTTAGTTCAATATTCTCCAAAGTTGTACATGGTGTCTGTGTCAGTTATCTACTGCTGTGTAACAAACCACACTGAAAGTTGGTCAATTAAAATAACAGCAGTTTATTTGCTCTCGATCCTGGGCTGCATGCAGCTGGGAAATTTTTCTTTGATCCTCTTTGAAGTCACATAGGCAGCTACTCAGCTCACCTGGGACCAGATGGTCCAAGATGACTTTGTTCACAAGTTTGGCAGTCATGCTGGCTATTGACTGGGATGCCTCAGTTCTCCAAATAGCCTTTCATCCTCTGGGCTAGAATGGCTTTTTTTCCCACATAGTAGTAGAAATGTTTGAAGAGGGCAAAAGCAAAAGCTTCTTAAGGTCTGGACTTGGGAGTTGTACAGTGTTACTTCTGTCTCATTCTGTCTACTAAATGAAGCCTTAAGGAATACCCAGATCCAAGGTAGGAGGTAGCAGGGATAATAGTCTCTATCTCTTGTTAGGAAGCAGGAAAAAAATCATACTACAAAGGAGCTAGACGCAGGGAGGTGTGATGCATTGGGGACTATTGTGTAAGAATATACCACGGAGTCTGAGGAACATTTTGCCGTATTAGAGAATTTATATTTTTCTTATATTTGTGTACATGTGGTTATAGTTGTAAGATATTTGAAGTTTAATGCAGATGCCTTGCTTTGCTTATTAAGTGGATATCAAACTCCCAAGATTGATGTTTTGGTTTTTTATTTTTTTCATGATTTAAGGTCCTACCTTATTTTTTATGGCTTAGACAGAAATTGTTAAAAATTGCAATCACACAAGAACTCAGTAAATGGCAGCTGCTATTGTTATTCCTGTTAACAGCAGGACTGAGGATCACAGCAATAGTACCAGCATAGAGAAAAACAGGGTCTAACAGATTAAATCAGCAAAACCACATTAAAAAAAGATACTTTTACTACTAAATCACATACATTTCAAGAGCATTTTCTTTTCTTCAAATAAATTAAAATATTTCCCATGAGCAAGGCACCATACTTGACATTAAATAACAACAGGAACAACATGTGGGCTTCCCTGGGGCTCAGTGGTAAAGAATCCATCTGCCAATACAGCAGACAAGGGTTTTGATCCAGGAAGATCCCACATGCCACGGAACAACTCAGCCTCTGTGCCACAACTACTGAGGCTGTTCTCTAGAGCCTGGGAACCGAAGCTACTGAAGCCCATGCAGAGTCCGTGGTGCACAAGAGAAGACACTGCAGTGAGAAGCCTTCGCGCTGCAACTAGAGGAGCCCCTGCTC